ATGTCGTCTGAGGAATGGGAGGGGGAGTTGAAATGGTTCGCGACTGGAGGCAAATTGGAGGAAAGGCCAAAATGACGTACTGATGTAACAAGTGATAGTAGGAACTGCAGATGCTGGAGAATCTGAGATAACAAGTTGGAGAGCTGGATGAACACAGCAGGCCAAGCAGCATCAGAGGAGCAGGAAGGCTGACATTTCAGGCCTAGACCCTTCTTCAGAAATGGGGCAGGGGAAGGGGGTTTTGAAATAAATAGGGAGAGAAGGGGGCGCGGATAGAAGTTGGATAGAGGAGAAGATAGGTGGAGAGGAGACAGACAGGTCAAAGAGGTGGAGGTGGAGCCAGTAAAGGTGAGTGTAGGTGGGGAGGTAGGGAGGAGATAGGTCGGTCCAGGGAGGACGGACAGGTCAAGGGGGCGGGATGAGGTTAGTAGGTAGGAGATGGGGGTGGGGCTTGAGGTGGGAGGAGGGGATAGGTGGGAGGAAGGACAGGTTAGGGAGGCGGGGACGAGCTGGGCTGGTTTTGGGATGCGGTAGGGGGAGGGGAGATTTTGAAGCTTGTGAAGTCCAAATTGATACCATTGGGCTGCAGGTTTCCCAAGCGGAATATGAGTTGCTGTTGCTGCAACCTTCGGGTAGCATCGTTGTGGCACTGCAGGAGGCCCAAGATGGACATGTCGTCTGCGGAATGGGAGGGGGAGTTGAAATGGTTCGCGACTGGGAGGTGCAGTTGTTTAGTGTGAACCGAGCGTAGGTGTTCTGCAAAGCGGTCCCCTCCGCTTGGTTTCCCTGATGTAGAGGAGACCACAACGAGAACAGCGGATGCAGTATACCACATTAGCAGATGTGCAGGTGAACATCTGCTTGATGTGGAAAGTCTTCTTGGGGCCTGGGATGGGGGTGAGGGTGGAGGTGTAGGGGCAGGTGTAGCATTTCCTGCGGTTGCTGGGAAAAGTGCCAATGTGGACTTCACGAGCTTCAAAATCTCCCCTCCCCCTACCGCATCCCAAAACCAGCCCAGCTCGTCCCCGCCTCCCTAACCTGTCCTTCCTCCCACCTGTCCACTCCTCCCACCTCAAGCCCCACCCCCATCTCCTACCTACTAACCTCATCCCGCCCCCTTGACCTGTCCGTCCTCCCTGGACCGACCTATCTCCTCCCTAACTCCCCACCTACACTCACCTTTACTGGCTCCACCCCCGCCTCTTTGACCTGTCTGTTTCCTCTCCACCTATCTTCTCCTCTATCCAACTTCTATCCGCCCTCCCCCTCTCTCCCTATTTATTTCAGAACCCCCTTCCCCTTCCCCATTTCTGAAGAAGGGTCTAGGCCGGAAATGTCAGCCTTCCTGCTCCTCTGATGCTGCTTGGCCTGCTGTGTTCATCCAGCTCGACACTCTATTGATGTAACAAAGCAACATTTGAGGATGTCTTCAAAGCTGAGCACGCAGTCATGGAATCTTGGAAGTTCGGCTTCAGATCACAAGGTATGTTGAGAATATGATCAATCTCATTCAATTCAGAATAATGGTGAGAGAGGGAAATGAATTTATGGTGATGGTTTTGGTTTGTTTAGTTCATTTATTTCTGGAAGAAACTGCAACTCATCCAAGTCCATAAGTCAAACAAGCAATTTGATAGCAGAGATACTGCTGAGGAGTGATAACAGGGTGTCATGAAGTTTCATATGATCCTTATGCCTACAAAAAAAGGGGGAAAGTGTGGCACACAAATGAGAAATACCAGGTGTAACCTGGATTGGTATAATACTGGACATGCTCTGGCTACAGTGGATCCTATTGGATGGGGTGGATACTGCAGGAGGGGGTGGGGCATCGAGGGCCGGAAACAGGCGGTGGGGGCGGAGCGACGACCGGAAGTATCCGGAGGGGCGGGGCCTGAGCTGGGAAGGAGTTTAATGTTTACGGTGGAAGTGGTTCTTGTCGCCTCATCTTCCTCTGTCTCCGGCCTCGCATGACTTCCCCTGACACTAACGTCCCGGTCACGCTGCTCGCCCCTTCTCCGGCGAGTCTCAAGCGGTGAGTGTGTCCCTCTTTGGCTGAGCCTAGCCATGTCCTGACTGTTCGGGGATGGTGCACGGCCCATGCAGGCCACAGCTTCCAGCTCCTGAAGTAGCTGTGGCCTGGGCGAGGTGGGCCTTGGCACTAACCAGATCCAAGTCACAGTCTCCCTCGGATTGTCAACACAGCCCCAGGATCCCAGCCATGTCCACTTCATTGTAGTGAAAGATTGGTAACCTGGAAAACTCGGTGGCATCTTTACTTGACGCGGCCAGGCATGGAAAGGTGTCAGATTATTTATGAAGTGATACCAGTTCAGTGTTACCCTTTCATATGTTTCCAAGATGGTCTATATTCTCAATAGATCTTACCTACGCTCAATAATTACCCTTAAAAGAACTTCTTTCCCTATAGAAGAATTACGTTTTTTAATAGCTCTTTTCACCACCTCAGGACTTTTAGAAGTGCAGTTAGAAAAATGACTGACTAAATTTGCGTACAAGAAATTAGTTGAGATGTAAATTTTGGCTCAGAAACTTGTTGCACCCCCCCCCCCCATAGTTAAATTAGTTGCTGAGTTATATTCTGCCAAGTGTGAGATAAGTATAAATAAGAAGAGTATGGTCTCACTTATTTTATTACTTTCCCATAATTTATGGTGCTGTACTATGTAGCAATGACTACAACTTTAAAGCACAAAGTTAGTATTTATGCAAAATAAAAACCAAAAGAATTGTGGATGCTGTAAATGAGAAACAAAA